TGAGCCTGCCTTTACTCTCCCTCTCCGAACTAAGCAGCCTAGGAGGCGCACAAATTGGGGTTTCCAGCTTCCCTCATCACTCTGGGAATCCTATTTGGAATGCAGTGCTCAGAGTTTGCCTTCTCCTTTGAGAGTCAAGTCTCTCTTGGGCTCATCTCTCCTGACATTGCTCCATTTTCCAGAATCTCCCAAAGATGGCTACCCAGGGGCTCAGTGCCCTTGGATGAAACGCATAAGGGCAGGGAGTTCAAATGAACTAAAGCAAATGCTGGCCACTCTCCCTGATGGACAGCAAGACGGCAGCACGGGGGCTAAAGGGCTCTAGGTGCTTCCCTGCCAACCTCCTCACCCCAGATCTGATACAGGTGCACCTTGAGAAAGTCATTTGAAAATCTCAGGGCCACCACCTCATGTCCATTAGAATGGCTACTACTAAAAATTAAATTAAAGAAAAACATAAAATAAAACAGTATGAGGGAGGATGTGGAGAAATTAGAACCTTTGTGCACTACTGGTGGGTATATAAAGTGGTATGACCACTATGGAAAACAGTATGGTGATTCCTCCAAAAAAAAAATATCAAAAACAGAATTACTATATAGTCCAGCAGTTCCACGTCTGGGTACATACCCAAAAGAACCGAAAGCAGGGACTTGGAGAGTTATTTATACACCTACGATCATAGCAGCATTATTCACAGTAACTAACATGTGGAAATAACCCAAGTGTCCACCGACAGGTGAATGAATAAGTGAAATGTGGCATATATACACAATGGAATATTATGCAGCCTTAAAAAGGAAGGACATTCTGACACAAGCTACAACATGAGTGAATATTGAGGTTTCATCCTTGAGCATCCTTATGCTAAGTGAAACAAACCACAATTTTAAAAATGGATTAGAGTAGAAAAGAATCTCAAGGCCTTAGTTTCCTCACCTGAGAAAGAGCAGGATTTGACTAGATAGCATCTAATCCTCTCAGTCCTGTGGTTCCATGCCCACTGCATCCTCACCTGCCTTCCAGAAGCCCCGGTACTTGGCAGAAAAGAACCCTGCAGCTCCAGCCTGAAAACAGTGCCTGGCACAAGGTAGGCACTCAGGAAACGTTTGTTGGTGGGATGGGTGGCAGAGAGATAGATGGATAGACCCTCCCCAAAATCCCAGGCCCCCAGGCAAACAGAGAAGCTAGCTAGATGGACTCACGGCTGGTACTGTTTAGAATAAGAAATGCGGGGGAAGTCTGCCTGGCAACATCAGGTATTCACATCAGCAGCAAGCACCAAGGGTACTGGGGAGAAAGCAGATTCAGGAATACAAACCCCACTCCTGCCCCAGCCCCAGCCACTGTGTGTGACTGCAAACCAGTCACCTGGCCTTTCTGAGCTCCAGTTTGCTCCTCTCCCTAAGGATGGGTTTAGATCTCCGCCGAAGTCACTGTGGGCTTGAGTGGCCCAGGGTCAGGGGACAGGCTCAGAAGACCACAGCTGCTATGCAAGCCAGTCACGCCTGTCATGATCACGGTCGTGAGTGTGGACCCCGGCGCCCAGCCACTGAGTTGAAATCCCAGCTCCCCATTTGAATAACTCTGTGGCCTTAAGCCTCATCTGTGTTCCCCGTCTGAGACACCCCCACACGCATTGCCTTGTCTTGAAGAATAAATGAGTTTACTTTTTTTGTAAAGCATTCAGAACAGAGGTCTGCAAAGAGAAAGTTCTAGACAAGAATTAACTTCTCACTGTTGCTCTGATTACTGCTATAGAGGAAATCAACCTGGCATTCCCATTTCCCCATTCACCTCCCCGCTGCACTCTCCACCCCGACCTGTGATTCGATGGGATTCACTCCATAGGACGTTTCAAGCACCACGGGGCTGGCCTGCGGAGGAGAAGCAGCGCCCACACATTCTCCCCTAGCCCAGGTCTCCTGGTGCCAGACCACGCGTGCAGGAGGGCTCACATCTGACCAACCCTGGTGGCCTGGCCACTTCTGGCCATCACCCTCTGGAAATTCCTTTTGACTCTTATTTTTCAGATGTTAAGAAAAGCTGCTTCAGGACCGTCCATGGCAAACATGCCCCCTCCCCTTTCCGTCCTGCCCCAACCCGTGGACCCCACAGGAGGCAGGTGACCCTTCTACCCAAGGGCTTGGGCAACATCTGTCGAGTAAGACAAAAACTGGTTGAAGATTAAGCCACTGTGCCCTGGCTGGCCTGGCACAGGCCGGAAGATGTGTTTGGCCGGCAGGGCCCAGAGGCTGGCAGAAATCCCGTGCCCAGGGATGAGCGGTCCGATCCTAGGGGGGTAGGATTGAAGCAAGATGGGTGAGAGGGAGAGCTGGAGGCGTGGAGAACACAGGACAAGCAGGCAGACACACAGTGTGAGGCAAGAGGGAGGGGGCGGGGAGGCCAGAGACCAGCGCTGCAGAGGCTGAAGGGCAGGCAGCGAAGGCAAAAGGAAGGAAAAATACAACCCGCCCTTTCCTCCCTCTTGTGAACCTGCTCAAAGCACTGGCCTGCCTGCCTGCCGTGAGGAAACAGGTGCTCAGCGCTCTCTGGGGGAAGCCAAACTTTCTCCCAGCTTCCCCTGGGCCCCTTTCCCTCCCCAGGGAAGGCAGCAGAGTTTCCAGCTGGAGGCGGGCCCCCATCACATCCCCCACCGCCCACCAGCAGGGACTAAGAGCAACAACAGTCCTGTCTATTGAGCACCTAACCTGTGCCAGGCATCCGGCTGAAGGGCCTCTTCCAGCCACTCAATAACATGAATTGAGCACCAACTGTGTGCCAGACAGTGGGGATACAGCAATGAACACAAGGGATAAAAAAAACCTCTTGTATCATAGAGTTCACATGCTGGTGTGGGGGAGCCTTTTAAACAAGATAAGCAAGTATGATGGTGATACATGTTAAGGGGCAAAAAAAGCCCGAGAAGGGTTGTTGGGGGAAGGGAAATCTGACACTTCAGTAAAGACCCTGGAGGGGGGCAAGAGCCTGACAGGTATCCATGCGAAAAGCTTTGCAAGTGCAAAGGCCCTGAGGCAGCATCATGCCTCATATGTTCAAGGACCAACAAGAAGGCCAGGTAGCTGCAGCAGAGTGAGTAAAGGAAGGAGCTTCTAGAAGAGGGGTGGGGGACAGGTTCTGACTCAGGTGGGGAAACTCCACCATCCAGTGGCTGATCCAACCTCCCTAAAGGTCAGAGCTCCCCCATCCAGGTAGGGCATATCACAAAGAAGGGAAGATTCCACAACCTCGCTCAGGCAGGAGTCTCTTCTGGTATCTAACTACATGGCCTCCAGCTGGAATGCCAACCTATTCCCTTTTGTCTCAACCTCTGACCCCTTCTCACATAAACAAGCTCACGAGACTCCCAGAGGTCATGCATCTGGCTTCTGCCTGGACAGCCTTAAACCCCGGAGCCCCCTAACCATCCCAAACCAGCCAAGGACATTCTGTTCTCAGCAGCGAAGTGAGTGGCAGCTGGGTTGAAATGATGAGACATAGCCTCACCCATCCCCACTCCTCCCTACCCTCCTCCCCATGGTATCCCTCCACAGTCCCAGAGAGATTTCTCCCTGGCAGTTCCAAACCAGGCTGGCCTCATTCCCACAGCATCCCACGCCCATCCCCTACTCTTGTCAGACGACCTTCGGCTGGGCCCTGTGCGAATAACACACCACATCTGGAGCGGCACAGCCAGGGAGAGCTGAGGCCCAGAAGGGTTTGAGCCCAGTGAGACCAGGAAGAGGGGCTACAGCAAGGAAGGGAAATAGCTGGGCAGGGCTTGGGCCAGGAGGGCAGAGGGCAGTGACACTGCTCTGGGTCCTCGAGACAGCTAAGAGTCACAAGCACTCTTGCATAATCTTTTCTTGCATACTTTATTTCATTCCATCAAGGACCCTGAATCGAGGGAATACTTATCAGCACTGAGAAAGCCTTTGGAGTATCTAGTGCAACCCCTCTCTTCGACAGAAAGGGAAACTGAGGTCCAGAAAGAGGGCGGGACCTGCGCATTGTCACATGGCAAACAGGTGTTAGAGGAGAGAAGGCCAGGTGACCTGAGTGAGATTCCAGTATCCAGGCTGGGCAAGTTACCGCACAGGGATGCAGACACCCGAAACCACCTGGGCCCAGAGGCACCTCTGCCACCTCCCCCAGACTCCCACCCACATCAGTGTCACCACAGGCACCTCCGCACCAGCCACCGGCGATCAGATCGTGCCCGCAGGGGTCCTCCGTGACACACCCCTGAGCACAGGCACAGGCAGCAGCACGCACCTGCACACAGGCAGGCCCCTCCTCCGCAGCCTCCAGGGCTGGGCTGGGGAGCAGGAGGGATCTCTGAAGGGTGAGAAGGAAGCGAGAGGGCAGAGAGGGAAAGCTCCCAACATTCCAAATCAGCCCAGCTGGGATCAGTCTGCAGCAGGCCCCTCTCGACAGCCCATAACTCACAGAAGTCTTGCCCTATGCTTTTCTGGAAGCCTGACTAGGGAAGGGAGGAGAAGGGGGACGTGGAGAGAGCGAAAAAGCAGAGTCAGCCAAGGAGCCTGGAGGTGGAACAGGCCACCCGAATAAATGTGAGCAACGGCCCGGGTACATGGATTCTGTGGGTCATGCCATCCATCCCCGCAGCCTCCGGCCGAAGGGTACCTAACAGGGGACCAGGGAAGAAGGAGATGCCATCCCCAGGTCCCGCAAGCCCCAGGACAACAGGCACCTGGCCAGGCCTAGAGACAGGCAAGATGCCCTTTTATGGGTTTTTCCAAGGACGTAAGTCTCAAGATTGAAATAGAAGGCCTCACATCTCATCAGAAGGGACCTCATGACTCATATCCTCCCAATCCAGCTTCGGCCTTGGGACGTGGCCCCTTCCTCCTCCTTACCTAACAGATCAGCACCCGTGGGGGCTACTCAGCATGCTTGGGCCTAAAGTTAGCTGCAGCAGGGAGCTGAGGAAAGAGGGGAGGTGGGGCTGGCAGGGCAGGGGATGGACTGTCACTCACCACCAGTTCATGGCTGGATGGAGGAATACAGGGGGCAGCCACCTGTGGGAGGAAGAAAGAAGGGGTAAGGTTAGATCTTTCATCCCCATAGAAAACCAGGGCCTCCTGAGATCATTCCACTCTCCCCATCCCACACTAGACACCCCTTCCTTCAACTCACAAACACTGACACTCTCCAGTGGGAGAATTTGATGGAAGACCATGTAGCAACATGGAAAAACGCTTAGGCAATAATGCTCAGGTGGGAGGGGGAGGAGCAGAAGGCAAAAATGAAAGGATGTCACAGTTTTTAAATTCTGTAAAAAATATGCCGAATGACTGGAGGTCAAAGCACCAGGGTTAAGGTAATAAGAATAAAGATTCTTTTTCCTTGGTTCCATGTTCTAAATTTTCTATAATATGGAAAGATTTGTTTTAAATTTTTTAAAACCATGTTTAAATGTTTTTAAATGTTTAAAACCATTTTTCTAGAAAAGAAAGAGTCACCTTCTTCATTCTTCCCAGTGCCAAGATAGCTCACCCAAAGGTCAGAGCTGCAAACAGCTGGCAAAGTTTCTCAAAGCGTGCGGGCACAGGCTGGTGGAGGACCCCGCTGATTCTTCCAGAGGGAGCTGGCCACTTGGCTAATTGATGAGGAAGGCCTTGAAGGGTGAAAGCACCCTCGGTGTGTGACCTATAACTTTAGTCATCATCCTCATCTTCATCTCTGATGCAGGGGAGGTGGGTGGTGATGTGGCCTCAAGACAGAGGGAGAGGGCAGGGAGGGGGCTGGATTGCTCATATCCTGAGATAACACTCCCTCTCTGGGGGCCGGGCAGCCAAACCACTACCCTGACAATTAGCAGGGGCCTTTATCAGAGACTCAGTGTGCTCCTTTTTTCTAGCTGGGACACGTTTTTCTTGGAGCTCATACCTCAACCTTGGCTCCAATTCCCGACCCGAACACCAGGCAGGAGGCCTACAGAGGGGACGGAGGGGGTAGCTCTCCCCCCGGGCCTGAGGGTGTCTGGACATAAGCCGTGGATGGCCAAAGAGGGGATGGCCCCCTCCTGGAACAGTGAGCAAGCCGGCCTCCCATCCCAGCCACCACCCCAGTGGAGCAGTGACAGTGACAGCCTATAGCCCCAGCCGGAAGAGCCCCAGCTCTTCACAAAGACCTCACCTTCAGCCTGGTCCTCCCGCCACCCACCCCGTTCTGTCGTCCAGCCAGCCCAAAGGCTCCCTTGGCTTGACACAGCAGCCCAGAAGGGGACCACGCCTGCAGGACGATGTGGCCTGAGCCCTGGAAAGGGTGGACAGGCTAGGAGTTAGCATCCGTGGGCTCTTGACCCAGTCACATGGCAGGCTCCTAACCCAACTCATTTCAAGCAGAGGACTGCTTGAAGTCACATTACTCCAGGACTTGGGAGAGTAACATATGAGGCCAAAAAAACGGGAACAATATCTTCAACATATAACACATACTGAATGTGTACTACATGACAGACATTATTACCAATGCCTTACCCACATTAACTCCTGTGATCCTTTCAACAACCCAGTAAGGTAGTACTATTATACCTCCTGTTGAAGTGTAGGGTGCACACTAGCAGTGGCCTTCTCCTTGTCTCTTGTAGCCCCCAGCCCCAAATCCCATTCTGGGGCTTATAGGTTTCAACCTCATGGGGCCAGGCCCCCAGTATCCCCTGTTCCCTCTATCACCCACGGGTTTTCAGGCCCTGGGTAGGAGCAGGTGCAATCTACAGGACAGAACCCTGCTCTGTTCCTTCCTTCTGAGCTAGAGATGGAACAGAGCTGGGAACCTAAATAGGGGATCAGCTGCAAAAGATGGGGATGCCACTGGCTACTGCCTGAGCCTCCCAGCCGCAGCCAAGTCCCATCCACCGCCATTGGCTTCCCCTGCAATATATCAGAGTGAGTTTCTAGTCTCCATTTGGGACAGGAGGCTGGGGAAGTGAGGGAGGGGGTTGCAGACACATTTTGAGGCAGAGTCAGAATAGACAAGTGTCTCTCCCCCAGCACCACCTTAAGAAAGTGGAAAAAATGGGGCCCCAGGTATCCTGACCCCAGGTCCCCTTCCCTGTCCCCCCTGAGGCAGAGACAGCCCCTAGATCTGAGGGGCAGCTGTGGACCCCCAGTCCAAAGGCCTGATGCCTGGTGCCCCCTCGTGGCCTGCTGCCCCCAGTGGGCCTCCCCTACCCGCCGCCCACAGCTGTGCATTCCAGGGCCAGCCGGACAGCCAGCCCACTAACTTTGTTGTGTGTTTCAATG